TTGTATCTGCTTTAACATTGCTTCCAGGAGGATCCGCTCCATGATCTTCCCAGGAATAGAAGTGAGACTTATTGGCCCTAGATCTTCCTTTCTCCCTTTATTAAAAATGGGAGCGATGTTTACCTTTTCGCCAGACACTGGGGACTTCTGATAACCAGGACTTTTCTGTTATAATGGAGGGTAGCTTGACAAGACAAGTCATTTCCTTCAGTACAGGATACATGTTATCCGTTTGCCAGACTTAAACACACTCAGTCCCATGAAACAATCTTGGATTTGCTCTTCTCTTACAATGGGAGGGATTTTTCTCCTCTACCCCAGCACAGAGGTTCAGGGATGTGAGAGGTGTTGGAATCCTGACTGCCAGTGAAGACTGAGGCAAAGAACTCATTGAATACCTTCACCTTCTCTATCTATGTTGAAGCCAGTTCTCCTTTCTTATTTACTAGAGAGGGTTCACTCTTCTTGGCCTTTTCTGACTAATGTACGAAAACTACTCCAAAAGTAATTCCTCCTATGTCTTCACGTGGAAATTAAACAAATATAATGAGCACAATGACTTATTTGATAGTGAAAATTCTCAGCTACTAAACGCTACTTTTCAAGTCTCTAACATTAGCAACACACCTTCCCCAGCAATATAAAAGCAGCCTGCATGCTGTGCTTGTAGAAATCTGCAACAGCAAAGGTGAGCCACTGTTTCACAGCTGCTATAGTAGTACTGTTGTTAGGAAAATGTCCATGCAGTCCAACTTTCAACAGCCCCAACAGATGGAAGTCAGAAACTGTCAAATCCAGACTATAACATGGGTGAGATAGGACAGTACAGACAAGATTGTCTTCAAACTAGTACTGGGCCTGTTTTGTTGTGTTGCGGGAGAAAAGTTGTCTTCCTCTCTGGTCTGACTCTGGAAGTTTGAGCCTTCAGCTTTGTCAGTGTCACAAAGCAGAGGTCAGAGACGATGGTTTGTCCAGGTTCCACAGAATCCAGAAGGATCATTGCTTTCCTGTCTGAAAAAGATACTGCACATCACTTTCTTTGACAGAGACTGGAATTTTTTTCTTTGATGGGGAATTCACATGCCACCACTGCACAGACTCAACAAGTCCTTACAAACTTACATATGCTGTTCTTTCTGTTTCTATATGAGCACTCATGGGACCCATCTGGCACAAACATTGTAATACTCCAGTGTTGCCACCATCATTTCCAATGCAGTGAAGCTGATATTCAGCTCCACATACAGTTCCCTGATTGTAATCTGCTGATTTTTGCAAATGAGTTGATCAAGATGCTTTTCATTTCATGGTGTGACAGCTGTGTATGGCCATCTGGAACATGGCTTTTTTTTCACATATCACTGTTCTCACTGATAAAACACCCTCCTCCCTTTTCCCCCATATCAGTGTGCTCACATGCACTGTTTGGTCTCCATAAACATTCTGCAAGCATCAATGACTGTCGATGGGTACAATTTTTTTTCTGCATGAAGGAATTCAGAAACACACCTTTGTTTCATATGCACGCCCATGTCAGACACCATTCTGTCAGATTGCCCCCCTGCTGCCATCTGTCACACAGCACCAAAATGTAATGGAATATTGACAGGAAGGTTCAACCCCTACTGCTGTACCACCAACATCCGCCTCTGACATTGTGGTCCAAAATCATAAGATAGAAGACATTACATCTGGAGGAGCCTCACATCTACAGAATCCCTTCTCATCATTTTTCACATCCCTTGTTCATTTCCGTCTACATTTTGGCTTTTCTGATCCCATCTCTCCACTTCTGAACTTCATCCCTGTATCCTTCCAAGGCCAAATAATACTTGTTAAATTATAGAGATTATGAACAAAGTGAACCTGTTACTAAGTGGGTTGTTTGTCACCTTCCCTGTCCCAAAACATCTGTTCTACTTTCTGTCATTATAAGTCTGCTGAAGTTTTTACTTCCCTGCCCATTGCAGCAGTAGTTTCCTTTTTCTGTTCATATGCAAATTCTTATTTTCTGCCTGAAAATCTTCCCTTTTCATATTCCAAAACCGAAAATCTTTATGATAGCACTTTGAATAGTTTAATATTAATCTCATTTTTCTTACACTGAACGTTACTCTCTAGTAAGGTCATCAGAATGGCATACATTATTCAAAGTTAACTGCACAAATTCCTTATGCAGTACTAAATGTAAATAGGATGAAATTATTCTAGTACCTCCGTGCAGTCTAGTGTTTCTATTGTCAATTACCCTGTATGATAACTCATCACTTATCAAGAGTTTCCAGATACTTTTCGTCTTCTATATTTGCAAAGAAAATCACTTTAGTTTGATACACTTTCTTCTTCCATTTAATGGCATACCTAGTCAACGTTGCTTCTGTCTATCATGTTATTGTTGTTATTATTGCTATTAATAGTTACACTTTACTAGTTCCAAAAGGCTTTGATCAGGGTCTGAATGTTGTAAAAAAATAACATCTGTGCAAAGCAAGCAGCTTGCAACTGAAGAGCTTACATTCCTAAAATAATCACACTTGTGTTGTATCTGTAGAAAATGGTCTGTTTTTCCAACATTGACCTATTTCCAGTGGGAAGACAAAATCAGTCGTTATTTAGACTGAGCTGTGGAGCTGGGGGCATGATCAAGAAAAGTTTGCATATGTGTGATTTACTGGACAGCTGAAGGAGTGCAAACATCAATGGTATTTTGTATTATTCTTATTTTTAAGAAAGTAGTGTTTGCACACATGCAGATGAGTTGTGGCAGCAATCACAATCTGAAGAATTCAGTGCAGAAGTGAGAAATGAGCAAGACTTCAAATAAAACTCATCTCCTTTTCCTTTTGAAAGTTATTACATTATATGAAGATGGCAGCTGAGATGCTCCAGAAATTAAGTTTTAAAGTGCATTGCATGTTCCTCTGACTGTATTTCCTGGTTTAAATGAGCCATGACAAGACAGAAACTAAATACAGCCTTCATAAAATGATTCCTTGCTAAAGAGCAAAGGGATGCACTATTCTGCAATAAGTAATCAGCTGTGCTTATCAGGATAACAGAAAGTATTACTGAAATAATACAATCAGTGTCATATCAGCTACTGATTGCATTCTGAGCCATCAGTAGAGGAGAACTAAGAAACCACTTCAAGATATGTTTCAAGTTAAATGTTTCTATTATTCATTTCTTAGAAATGTGAAGAAGTTCTTAGATGTGAACAAAATCTTTACCTTTTTACCTAAATGTAATGTCCAGTCTCGGAAACAAACAAAAACAACCAAACAAACAAAAAACAGCCAACAATAAAAAAGTTATACTCTCAACTGTATGGGGCAGAGAGAACTTGACATCTTACCTTCTACTTTCCTAAACTATTCATTTGTAGGTTTATGACACTGCTTAGAACTTTTGTACATGAAGTCACTTGCAGATTATGGAAAGAAGATCTAGCCTGTAGACCTGACTATTGCCTTGTCTGTCAGTAAAAATTACAATAAAATACATGTAAGCTTTCTGAGTTGCAACACAGTACTGATGCTGTCCCACTTTATCACAGTAAGAATATTTATAATATCAGATTAAGGAAATAAATGTGGTATTACTGCAGTGTGGATCTACATTAGATGTAACTCACAGTTAAAGTTATTTTATATTAGATATCCCTGACTTCAGTGATATTTCCTTAAGTACTTTCCTAGTCTTGATATCTTGGAGAATACTGTTTTAAAAATGGAAAAGATAAAGAGATTTATTGCTAATGTTTATTAAACAGTGACTTTACATATAATTATCTTAGATCAGGAAAGTACTGACAAACATTCACCTGTAGAAATCAGGTTTAAAATTATCTCTATGCCTACAGTGTGGCAGTAGTATTTCAAGGACTGAATCTCCACTTATCTTTCCTCAAGGCTTCAGAAAGAGATGATAGTGCTCATCAGCCTCCTGGGCAATGACACTTCTGAAACTTTTCAATATCAAACACAGACAAAATTACTTTGGATCTCAATCTTCCAGTTTGCATTGGGTTTTTAAAGTGACATTATCATTTTAAGGCAGTCTAAAGAACTTTTTCTTCATTATTAGAATATGTCAGCTCCAATATTATACTTGTCCTTCAGGCAGACTATTGTTCTAATCATCAACTGTGATGGCATTTTTGGTGATGTGCTCTTGGGCAAAGCACTGAATTTTGTTTCAGCCTTGACATGAATTTCATAAATTCTTAGCCCACTGCATCAACAGAGGAAACCAACTGTGGCATTTGAAAGGAAAGAGCATTCAAGAAAAATAATTGCAATATCAGTCTGCAGATGGTTTATAAAATTACACTTTCTTTTCCTGTTTTCAGAAGTATACAATGATGTTACAAAATTTTTATAAGTTTTTTTTTGTCCTATTGTGATACAGTCATTTAAATATCGTGAAAACTACTACTTCCATAATGCTCATTCTCTTACTTAAAAGTAATTCAGCATACTGTAATCTTCTGCAGAAAATTACTAAGCACTATTTGTTAAAAATTTTTTGTTCCATTTGGATTTTAGAAAATTGCTTTAAATTTGATGTGTTTTCACACTTTTACAAAAGTTCATGATTTGTATCTTTTAGACTTCAGCTTTCGTGGTTGTGAGCATTCATTACATTTCCTATTCACTGTTCTCTGTTTGTCTGGATGCTATTGGCTCAATATATTTTTTCAGAACAGTAACATTCTAAATGCCCGGAAGGATGCAAGCTTGTTGTCTGCTAACATGTGCTCGTTGTATAAAAACTGTTCCTAAAATGATGTTTTACATCAGTGCTTTTAGGTAACAGCGCCCAGCAGCCCGGCGTCCAGCAGCGGCCTCCAGCAGCGCCCCGCCACTCCCGGAAGTTGGGCCCTGCGCTGCGGAGCCGGGGCGGAGCGGTGCCGGAAGAGCTGCGGCCTGTGGGAAACCCGCGGGCACCGATGGGGGATGGGAGGCAGCCGTGGGAGGGAACCGCGGGAGGCTGGGAGAGGAACGGAGCGTTATGGACTGACTGAAGCCCCCATTCCTGCCTCCTCGTCCCATTACCTTGCGCTGCTCAGGAGGAAGAGGTAGAAGAAAGTGAATGGGGAGAAGAAATTTTTTAGTTCTTACTGTCCTAATCTCTTAGATCTCTTAGAGAGATCTCCCTGCCCTTATCTCAACCCTGAGCCTTTTTCAGCATACGTTCTCTCCTTAACCAGCTGAGGAAGAGGAGTGAGAAAGTAGCGTGGTGGAGCTGAGCTCCATATCACTGTGAAATCACCGCTGAAATTTTCTCCATATTTAGATTAACAAAGAATAATGAGTTTCAAAGGCAAGCCTTTTCTCAAGAAATGATTTTATTATTTTTTTTTTTTCCCCAGCAGGGAACACTTGGAATAATGAGTTGAATTATGACCTTCCATTTGTGTTAAGGTGAAAATTAAGCAGGTCATAATGTCATTCCTTAATGACATTAAGGAAGGGTGTAATTTCTGACTTGCAAAAATAGGTTGGTACATTGCTGTGCTATATGAGTGTTCTACAGATACACAGAGATGAATAGATGCACCCACAAAAACTCTATGGGGAGAAGAGATAGAGGATAAGGAACTTCATATACTCGTGGATTTTGTTGACAGATCTTTTCTTCTCTCCAAAGCAAAATTATGTTAAAGTTATGTTAGCAAAGTATGCTAGCTTGCAGTTTTCTGTACATGAATGCTAACTGTAAAGACCAGAGATATTCAACTTGTGGTCAAATGAATTTTTAATGTAATTTTAAAGAATGGAATTGGGTATCTTTATAGGGAAATTGGTTCTTTTGCAAGCAACCAGCTTTTTGATAAGCAAGCAACATTTGAGTTTCTCTGAATTCCCGATCGGAAAGCAAAGGTGTCTCCGAGTTTCTATGGTATATACCATAAAACACTGAATTAATTGAATGATTACTATTCATGATCTTTCCCAAAAGAGTAAATCCCAGATGGAACTACAAACATTGTATTCTAATTCCAATTTGTCCCACTATGTTCAGAGAAATAAGCTGAGCAATCTTAGCACCTGACCATTTTAATCTTTCTCCCCTGACAGGCAGCGGTTAGGGGAAAAAAATCTGAGTATCTCAACGATCTGATTCTTCTTCAGAGTAATCAACAAGAGTTTATTTCCAAGACACCATTATGACTTCACTTGTTTTCAGTCCACATATTTTGAAGGAATTAGTTAAGGCTCTATATTGTAGAGGACTTAAAATATACTTGTAATAATGATTTTCCTCATATCTGTTGGTGATTGATTTCATTTTCCTCAACATAGTTTGATGCTGTATCTGATTTAATTCTGCTGTAGTTTCTGCTCTCCTTTTCTTCCTTTTTTTTTTTTTCCTGTCACCTTGCTCTGAAAATGGAACAATTATTCAGCTAAGACATCCCAAAATCAATGTTAAAAGAACTCTTGAAAAAAGACTTCATAATTCACCTGTCCACTTTCTTCTTTTAGCCCCATCTTTAGATACTGAAGTGCCATTATCAGATCTCCCCAGAACCTTCTCTTCTACAGGCTGAACAGACCCAGCTCTCTCAGTCTGACCTCATAGCGGGAAGTGTTCCTTGTCTTGCATCATTTTTGTGGCCCTCCTCTGGACACAGTCCAACAGGTCCACATCTGTTCTGAACTGAGAACACTCCATGTCTGGGCACAGTTCTCCAGATGAGGCCTCACCAACGCAGAGCAGTGGAACAGGATCAGCTCCCTCAATATGCAGGCTACCCATCTTTTGATGCAGACTTTGGCTTTCTGTGTTGGAAAGGTGCACTGCTGTGCCCTTCATGCCCAGCTTCCCATCTGCTACTACCCCCAGGTCCTTGTAGGCAGCGCTGCACTTCATCCTCACATCCCCCAGCTTGTTCTAGTAGTGAGGGTACCTGTTGTGGAGTACCATGTCAAAGGCTTTACTGAAGATGTCCAGGAAGATGACATCAATGTCCACTGATGCAGTTATGCCATCAAAAAACATGTTGGTCAGGTAGGACTTGCAGTTTGTGAAGTCTTGCTGGTTTTCCCGTGTTACCTTCCTGTCTTCCACTTGCCTTAGCATGGCTTCCAAAAGAATGATCTTCCCTGGCACAGAGGTGAGGCTAACAAGTCAGTAGTTCCCAAGGTCATCCTTTTTACCCTTCTTATAAATGAGCATGAGTTTGCCTTTTTTCCAGTCACCATCCACTTCATCTGACTGCCATGACTTTTCAAATGTCATCAAGAAGGACTTGGCTACTACATCAGGCCATTCCCTCAGGACTCTGGGATGCACCCCTTTGGTACCCATAGGCTTGTGAATGTTCACATTCCTCATGTAGTCACAATTTCTTACAGGAGGTGGGCCATTGCTCCTTTTATTCCCTCCTTTTGTTTTGTTGGCTAACTCCCTGAGCTGGAATTTTACTTTCCTAAAACTAAGCTTCCTGATTTTACTTTTTGGCTGTCCAGTCTCCCTCAAGAGTTTGAACTCCACCATCATCACTCCATCATCAATCCAGCCCAAACAGCCTTCAATCCTGATGTCATTAATTCACTTACATTGGTGAAAAATAGGTCCACCACTGCATTCCCCCCTATTGGGTCTGTCTGTTACTTGACTCAAGAAGTCACCCTAGATACATGCGGGGAGCCTCCTGAATTCCCTGCAGCTCACTGTGCCAGCAGATGCCAGGGTGGTTAAGTTCTTTGGCTTAAGGAAGAAGTCTTCATCAACAGGCTCAGTTGATCAGGTGGCCTTTAGAAGACACCAGCCACAAGGCTCCCTTTCTTGTCTTGGTAACTCTCACCCACGGGTTTTCCATTTCTTCAGAGACAGCTCTTCATAATCTTTTCCTTTCTTGAAGCAAAAAATAATATCCCCTTCCCTCCTTCATTGACTAGTTCTTTTCAGAACATCTTGTAGTCATTCATATTATAGTCCAGTCATGGGAATTATCCCACCAGGCTTAGGTGACAGCAGCTACATTGTAGTTTTCCAGCAATGCAGTGGCTTCCAGCTTCTCCTGTTTGTTTCTTATGCTACATGCATTGGTATAGAACCACTTCAGCTGAGCAACTGGTCTTGTCACTGTTTTAGGGGGTAACTACTTAATTCCTTTGAAGTATTTGCCTTGAATCTCCCTGTTGCCTTCATTATCATCATAACATGAAGAATACTGAGGGCCCCTGCTAACACCGTGTCCTTTTAACTTAGGTGTCCCACACCTTGCTGTAGGCAGGCTTGTTATCTCCTTTTTTCCCCTGTATACCTAGTTTAAAGCCCTGTAAACAAGCCAAGACAGCTCCTGGGCTGTCATTTTTTTGTCGTTTGAACCAGGTGGACCCCATTAACAGTCATCTGGACAGGTACAGAATGGACAGTCCTTTGGTCAGAAAAGCCGAAATTCCTCTGGTAGCACCCGCCTCTTAGCTGTGTATTTATCAGGTGGGTTTTCCTGATCCTCTCAGTGTCCCTTGCTGGTAGTGAAGGGATAGAGGAATACACCATCTGTACTCCTACCCTGTCTATTAAACACCTCAGTCCCCCAAAGTCCCTTTTGATAGAAGCCAACTGGCTGGAAAGCTGACTTGTGTTGAATGGACCTGCAGAAGAGATGCCAACAATACTTGAGCTGAGAAGTTTGTGGCTGACTTAGAACTCTCTGTTCTTGTAGGTCCAGGGAGAAAAGACAGTGAGGTGAGTTGTTATTTCTGTAGGCCACTGTGATATCCATACACAAGGGCCACAGCCAGCCCTTCATTCTGATATAGGAAGGAATGTAAGAACAAAATGAATAAACATAAACTCTAAGGAAGTTGAAAGGAGTTCATAAAAGAAGTTTTTAAAAATTGACACAAAATACATTTTTAGATGAGGACATTGAAAACCCTTTAGGTCATCTGCAAACAACTGAGCCTACGGATAGCATAAAATATGCACTTTTTCATTTACCCCAAAGAAAAAGAATTAAAAACATCAAATTAAAGAGTAGTGTGGAATATTATAATTCCACATATAATTCCAGATTTATATTCTGTTTTAAGAGATAAACAAAAAAATAAGACATTTATAATTATTGGATTTTTTCTTTAATAAAATGGACAAGCTGCTCAATAATGACTTTTAGTCAATAAGAATTATAGAGATGCTGTTAAAAAGACTGGAACTCAGGGAAATTTAGGAAATTGTGACTGTTTTTCAGGAAAGTGATGTGATATTAAAATACGTATGAATGGAAATGTATGCATAGTATGTGTAGATGCTCCTGGAGCAGAAACTTTAAAAATATGGTCCAGTCCAGTTTGTGAAAACAATTGTATCTAATTATTGTCAAGAACATATCCATTAATCTAACAACACCAGATTAAAAAGCTACCACAGTAAACACTGTACTTTGAAGAAATAGGAGATAATTCTTTCTTTCAGAAAATTTGCCCTCTGAAGCAAATTAAAATGGATTAATTTTTTGAAAACATGATCTAAAACTAATTTTAGTTTTCAGTTGAAGGTTTTATTTTCCTTAAATCTATTTAATGTTTTTATTTCCTTAGTAATCCCTACTTTCATTTCCAACTTCGTTAATACCTAATTTGAACAAAAATTTCTTTCAGTTAAAGTAATGCAGAAATCATAATCTTTGACTTTCAATTTAACCTTAATTAGGTATTTGAAATTATTTCTATTACACTATCTGAAAGTCTTTAATTGCTCATGAAGGCATCTTCTCTCTTCCTTATTAAGGTGAAACGATCCTTTTCCCTCCTCCACTGTGAAGATTCGCCAAATATATCATTTCTCTAAGAGTGTACTTAAATATATTTATCTACATAGTTCAAAACAGTGCTGCTTTTTATTCCTAAAGTTTTTGTGAAATGATTACTTTGTCAATGAAATGTTAATTTTGATACATGAAAGGCATAAATACAGAATCATTTAAGAATTTCCTTTTTTTTTTTTTTTTGAATTTACAAACGCTTAATAATATTTTAATGGTTTGTATTCACCCCAAACATACTTACATCTTTTTCCTTTTTGAACCATAAAACCCAAATATTTATTTCAAATTGGGTGAAATGGGGGGGAGTTACCTGATGAAATTTATCTTATCACTTCCTCAGTGGTAACAAAAACTACCCTACATGTCAAAAATTTGCCCTGAAGAGATTGGTTTAAATCTTCCAGAAATTGAAAGCTGAGGGGAAAGACAACAACAACAAAAAGAAAACAAACAAACAAAAAATGCTCCTTTACTACTCTGTACTACTCTGTAAGAGATAAAACAAGCTACATTTATGTAGATTAATCCTACCAATACCGAAGTTGTTGTTATGTATAATAACTAAATTATCAGTGGAACTGAGAAGTCAGGCACACTGATTACTTTGTGTATGTCTTACAAGCAGAACAAAGTAGTTTAGAGGATATCTGAATCAACTTGTACTTTATAAGATGCTAGTGTTGTTGGTTAGGTCATGTTTTTCAGAGCAGCCACTAGCTCAGCTCTGTACTCTGAAATGGAAGTTCTAATTTCTCTTTGTCATATAAGTGAATTAGTCATCTAAAAAGATGATAGATTATTATGGTCATCATAAAACTAGTCTCAGGGGAAAGAAGTTCACACCAAGCCATTACAAAAACTGACCAGAAATAACAAATGGAACGGAACTTGTGGGATTGTAAAATGGTAGGAAAAATGTGGCACTGGCTCATAAACCCTTTGCTGTTGGACTATTTTCTTTTTCTTTGGTCATGATACAAAGTAGCAAAACTGCAGTATTCAGTGTACATGGCATTACTTTACAGCTGAGGAGATATTTGTTCCTGTGCTTCAGACATTTGAATTGAAAACATATATCAAAGTGCTACAGATCTGTTTAATCAGGAAACTCACATGCCTGAGGAAAGTTGTATGCCTCAATCCATAGGCTGATAAAAAAGACTGTCAATAGTCACTGAGTGTCTGAATGTCTAGATTTACCTGGCTTGCAGAGCCTCTTCTGTAAAGCTAAAACCAGAAAGATTTACTGAATATAATAGCAACCTATGATTGGGCAGCTTGATGTGTTTTAACATATTCACCATCACTTAACATTTCTTCAGTATAATGTATATCTTTGCGTGTTTTCCGTGTATCTTAAGCACTCTGGTGTGAAAAAAGACAATTCTCAATTTATTTAACTGTTGGACTTTTTTTTTTTTTTTTTTTTTTTTTTTTTTTTTTTTTTTTTTTTAATTATCACTTTGTTGTATGTCTTACTGTTAAAAAAAAAAAAAAAAAAAAAAAAAAAAAAAAAAAAAAAAAAAAAAATGTGGACCAGAGAAAAAAAAAAAATGCACCATTAAAATAACATACAGGAATGACTGTTAGCTCAGAGTCTGAGAAGGTGGACAAAATAAGTAGAAAGAAGGCTAATAAAGCAATAATGCCAATGGAATTTAAAGACTTGCCAAGATAATGACCTACAGTTGAAAGAAAATTTAAGCCCTATAAAGTCTCAACAGGCACTAATCTTTCCTGGATGGTTCTCAACAATCACATGGAAAGATGGGCTTTCCAAAAATAATTTTACTACTTGAGGCAACAGTGAACCGCTGTTTTTTACAGAGTGAAAGGGAGCAGGAAGCAGAGAACCTAGAGGGAGAAAAGGTAAAAGCCTATGTGTATGCTTACATAGCTTTATTGTGTGATAGATGTGAATACTTGAAAGTTAATATTTTGTTCTGGTGATTATCTTTATCTGATTATTTTCTAATATTAGACAGGAATATCAGAAAAGAGCTCTGGAAAGCTATTTTGTACCTCTTTGCAACAGTAAAACTCTTTTTGATCTTAGGTTTGATAGTGAAAAAGGAAACTCTGCTTCTAATTTTCACCTCATTTTGTGAAAGATGAAGCATTTAGCGGGTATTTGTACCTAGATATACAGGTGTGGAGTAGACATCACTAGCAACTGAACTGGTATCATATATGGCTACTGTACTGCACTCTTGAAACTCACCACAGCTGTTACCACTGTTTCTAAAAAGAAGAGTCTTAAGTTGCTGGTGCTCAATTTTAAGTGGGTTTGTTTGTTTTTGTTTTGTCAGGGAGGGGTGAGAAGAGGAGTCTTCAGGTTCAAAGTAGATTAAACTTTTCTCTTCTTGTATAATTGCAGCTTTGCAGTTTCCTTCTGTTCTTTAGGAAACTTATTAAAAAATCTGATTGAAATAAACGTTTGTGTGGGGAAAATACAGATGGCTGAACAGATGATCAACGCATGAAAAAGGATTCTTATTATCTTGGAAACACAGGTAGACTACTTCTAACTTCTGCATGTAGATAGAAGAAACTTGTTTGTGAGAAACTGTTCTGTATCTTGCTTTCTGTGGATGACCTTACTTACTCTGACATGCTGTGCTTCACTGTCTCCTGCTGCTGTCTATGGCTATGATGCCAGGGGGCGTTGTTGGACCTCTTGCCAGTCCGCTGCCAGCAGTGTCTGCTGGTGGAAACACAGGATGGACACTCTATCTGCCAGCCACCCTTACGAAGTGGGTACCTCTCTATTAAAATGATTAATGTTAATTTTCCTCCACATACTCTCTTTGGGATCAGTAAACATTTTGCATAAGTTCTGGTGCTTCTGCATTACAGTGTTAAAACAAAAACAATACAGTAACTCCTCCCTCATTCTCAGCAGGAAAAAAAAGAAAACGTGTTTTACGACCATTGTTCTAAATAAGAAATCAAGATTTTTTTTTAAGATAGAAACAAAAATCTCCTGAATTTGAAACAAATTCTGAAGTCTACTTCCTCTTTATCTGCTTTGCCTCTTTTATTTTGAAGAACATCCAGCTCACAAAACTAAATATCAAACCATAGAACTGTTTGAATTGGAAGCGATGCTTAAAGGCCATCTTGTTCAACTGCTCTTCTATGGACAGAGATGCCTACAGCTAGATCAGATTGCTCAATGCCCCTTCCAGACTGGACTTGAATGATTCCAGGGACGAGGCAGCCATCACCTCACTGGCCAACCTGTTCCAGTGCCTCACCACCCTAATTGTAGAAGACTTTTTCGTTATATCCAACCTAAATCTCCCCTCTTACAGTTTGAAACTATTTCCCTTTGGCCTATCAAGTGCCAACAACACTGCTTAGTTCTCCAATAGCTATCCTCTATCATGCCTCTAGGATTGGCTTCAGGCAGCTGAGACACTTACAGGACCACTGCTCCCACCTCTTTTCTCTGCCTTGCTCCAGACTCTCCTCAGAATTCTTTACAAAGAGTATGTAGCTTACAGTTCTTTTCTTGCTGCTCATTTTCATTAGTGTCTTCCTGTCTGAACCCTACACATTGTGTACGTTGTGTTCTTCATGCCTTTATTATAGTCACCTGGATTTCATATGTAATATTTGATTAAGTGATTAATAACTAACTTTAGAAGTAGGGCATTTTATATGTGTAAATTTGTGTGCATATGAACTTGCAAAGCTCTCTAGTTTTGAAAGACTTTTTGAAATTGTAAGGCAGCTTATTATACCTATCATCTGTGGAAGCTCCAGAACAAGGATTCTTAGGTCTAAATCTTCAGAGATGGGTTGCACACCCAGCTTCACAGTCAATTGTAGCTTTTATTCACAAAAAATATTGCTCATGATTTACCTAACTGGTTGCTAAGCTGGCTGACTGTAAGGAATAACAGTTTGTTACTGTTTAAAATTTTCCCTTCAAAGAAGCTACTTCACTGTCTCTGCAATCCCTATCTTTTCTTGTTTACCTATTTTTCCTTATATCTGTTTCGCAATGTTGGTTTGAAAATTTGGATGAAGAAGCAATAATTTTGTCAACTAAGAGTTTCTGTATCGTTTTCTACACATTTCACAAATAAAACTACAGAATATAATTAATTTACACAGTTACATTTGTGTTAGAATGTAACTAAATAATACAAGTCAAAAAGCAGGAACCTTGATACTTACAACACATATGTATATATGTGTATGTTTTCATTTAGTTTCTCAAAACAAAATTGTAATTTGTCCTATGTATTTTATATTCAAGTCCTAACTCCAGAGATTCAATTGGATGAATGTTAAAGGTTTATTTAAATAAGAGACCAAGTAATCAGAATTTTTATGTAAGTTCTAAAACTTACGGTCTTCTGAAGACAAGGCATCAACTCACAGACTTTAGTACTGTGCTGGTAGTGATAGTAAATTAAACAAATTCTATAAATTTACTTTGTGTTATCTTAGAGAAGTCAAACTTCTGGTGGTGAAAATCAGTTCCGTCCTTGCCTGCTAAAGATCTTTGAAGAAGCATCGTAAAGAAAACGGTTGCTATACTCTAATTCTCAGTCCTCAGATGCATTTATCTCTTTAAACAGATACCTAGAAGTGACCTTCTTGGCAATAATTCAAGAGCATAGATAATCTTAGGAAGCAAAAGAGAACTTGAAATTTATTGACTGTGATCACCATAATGAAACTATCAGCAGAAGTAGTGATGGAAAGACATTTTTATAAATTGAAATAGCTATTTCTGTATGCTGTTACTTGGTGCTACTAACTATTCTTTAGCGTATATAAAAGTCCTTACTGATTGGTATATCCTTACTGATATACCAAAACTTGTGATGTTTTTTAATGTTGTGAACTTGTAAATAATACGAAAGTGTTACATTACTTCAAAGGAATGCTACAGTAAATTATTTTTAATTACCTACGGCATCAAAAGAAATTTAAGGTCACAACTGGAAACTGATTAAGTTGATGAACTCAGTAAGTTTGGGGAAACCATATGTGTTGGACCTAACATCTTCACAGAACTCTCTAATATGATTTCTATCTGGTTTTCCTTGTCTACTGTATGTAGAACTCATCAGTGGGTATTAATATCTCAAACATTTTCATCTCTGTGCAGTGCTCTGCGTTCTTTAATTTCTCTTGCAATATGATGTTTTACAACTTACTTTTAAATCTTTACAGAGTTCTACATAGAACTTCTCAATGTCAGTCAATCTCTGATACCACTGTCAGATTGTTTTCTATCTTGATGTCTCTTTCCTTCTCCCTGATAAAAATTGCCTTTTGCCTCTTGTCCGAGGGATTCTGAGCACTGTCACTCTACTGAACTTACCAGGCAATATGAACATAAGCAAATGTGGTAATCAAACATGTAAAAACTAATATCTGCCCTGTGTGGAGACTTGTGTGGAAATGTGAATTAGAGCTCCTGAATGCATAATTTTATAAATAATGATTGTATTTTGTTTTTTTTCGGAGATATATATTTTGATTTTCAGCAGTAACAAACTGATTGGAACCATACATCTATATCTTGCTTGAATTTTCTAGTTTGTTCACAGTTGTGGGTTATGTAGCAAGTTCAGAAAATCCATACAGAGCCTCAGTAACATAGTTGATAAAGATGTTCTCCTTCTGATCAATTGCAGGTGTCACTCGGAACACTGGTACCTGTCCAGACTGTGGTTAATATCATCAAGATAACTGAACTCAAAAGGAGCATTACAGTATTTATTACAGAAAGAGTTTCACTAGAGGTAAAACATCGTTTTTGTTGGAGCAGGCTTTAATCTTAGGTGGATGTTCCCATTTATCTCTGAGAAACTGAAAGCCAAAGAACTATATTTTGGTTCTTTTTGGAAGTGGGAAATCTTCTAGGACTGAGAACTTAATAGAATTTAGACGATTTAAGGATCTTCCTTCAGCAAATTTATCCATCTGGAGATTAAACAAGCATCAAAAGAAGAAAGGATACCTTCAAAAGAGGCAAGCATTTTCAAACCTCATATCATTATGTGGACTGTGTGATCACATAGAGGCATTGTAGATTTCCAATGTAACAACAAATTCAGCAAGGGGATATATGAAACTGTTCTGTTTTGAAAAATTGATTGCTTGGAGGAATTTTCTTAACTCTGTTGAGGAAAGACATGATGATTTGAATGGGGAAAGAAAAACATTTTTGCCAAGAGCTTCTGTTCACAGGCGATAAAGCTAAGGGACTGTATGCCTCTGGGAGTGTTAAATTTATCAAGTAGATTCAACCTCAGAAAGGGAGAGCTGGCACTTCTAGACCTTGATAAGAGATGGTTCAGGTAATTAGTTGTCTTCTCAATACAACACAGTAAGCCTGGGAACCATTTTAGTCCAGTCTGCCAGCACTGGACTCAGAGAGCTTACTCTGAAGTCTCAGAGGTAAATAGATTCTTATTTAATGACTGTTGTGGCAGTTAGTTAATGCTTAGAAACCCTGGAAACCTTCTTCTTTGGCTACTGAACAGACATTGTGAAAGGCCCCAAAGAGTCTGGAAATTTGGAATGCAGGAAGCAGAATGCCCTGGGTTGTCGTCTTTCTGACAGTTTACTGAGCTGGGGGCCTCAACATCTCGACAGGTGGTCTGCCAAAAGTCTTGTCATGTTTCAAAATTAAATTCCCTCCACACAAGATTTCTACACTGACAAATCAGCAATCCTGTGTAGAATGATGTTTGTACCTGAAGCTGGAGGCATTTGTCTCCTGCAGGAAGTGCTTGACAGAATGAAGTAATAGAACATGAGATGGCTGTTAGGTTGGACATGCCTTTTCCTGGAGTAATTGGCCTTGTTTTACATATGGTATATTGCCTGTCATTGTGACAGCTAGATCCCTAAAGAGTTCTATTCATAGCATAGCAAATTTAGAGATTCTTAACCAGATAACTCATCGACGGTGCGGTTTTATGCAACAGAACACAGTTGAAATGTTGTCTTTTGGCAGTGTGAATATATGTTGTTATTATTTAGACTTTTTTTTTTTTTTTAACAGAAGATACAGCAAGGGCAGATTTATTCTGCTTGAGCTAAAATCTGAATCAGTTGAAAATGGGATATTAATTCTACTTTTTGAGAAGTTAAGGTTTTCTTCTATTATCTTCCCTCCTGGAACTTTCTTCTATAGCTGTTTATAAACAGGCCTTTGAAGATATTAATATCATGGCTGATGTTTTTCATAATATAAAGAAAAAAAGCAATTAATGATAGTATTATCAAGCCCAGGAAAGCCTGTTTCATAGCTGTTTTTTTCCTATCCTGCTTTATGAAGAAAGCTAATTTGAAGGATGTCAGCATAAATTTGAGGGACAACTAATCACTTCATCTTTCAGATTCTTCTTCCCCAAAATTATTTTCAGTATTTTCTCTAATAAGCTCAAATATGGTTGTAAGATAATCCCAGCTTTGTTAATCTTTTTTTTTTTTTTTTTTTTTTTTTTACATTATAATGCACAATTTTGATTTGGTAAGTAGAATTTATGACTTTTTAAAGATAATTTAATTTAAGGTTACAGAGTAATCATTTAACTCAATCCTGACTAAGTAAATTCTTCTGGATGATTTAACTAGGCGTTGATGGGTTATTTAGTAGAGAGAGCGTGAGATCCCTAAAAATGGATCTTTTCATCTATGGGCTTCAATTGAAAGTTATTGAGGATTGGACACAGTGGGTAGGTAGGTCCACCAATATATTCAATTTACAACTGAAATTTGCATCATATGCTTTCCTGTATAGCAAACACACCTCCTTTATGTAATCCATCTGTTCTCAGATGTCTGTGGAGCTGCTGCGTTTTAAAAATCCAGCTTTTTTTAAAAAAAGGGCATTTTAAAAGCAAATCAGCAGATTCTTATAGAAGATTCTGTCTCTTTGTGAAGCTCATAGTAGTTTGGTTACTTAAGTGTTTACTGAGACAAACTTGTTGGCGTTTGTATCTGACTATGCATCTATCCTCGTTGCAGTACTTAGATGAACTTGTACTAATTCTAGTTCATTGGTACTTGCAATATGCTCTAGTTCTGCCTTAGATGATGGACATATAGACAGTATGTCTACATACAGTTATAGTACATCGTTCTGAAATAGAAGTGCTTTCTTGGCATAAATGACATAAGTTCATTTCAACCAGTTTGATAAACTCACAGTAAACATAGTAGTGCGAAAAGGGAAAATACTGTGTTCAAAAGTTTAAGGATTTTGAGTGCACATTTTTCTGATCTGGTGAACTCCAAGTCTGAAGAAATTGCATTACTATCTTTCTAATTTTACTTTATATCTGTCAGAAGTTTTCATCTTCATAGTGGAGTTCTCTTTAAGTGCTTATTAAAATGACTTATTTATCTCCTCTTTTAACAAAAACCCTGTTCTGTCACTTCTCATAGCTGTGGATTTGACTCATGCTAATATTTCCCAAAGTTAGATTTTAATGTGGGTCAATAGCCTTGACTTTTTGTTTGAGTTTTTCTGTTCTACCTCAAGAAAGAAAATCTTACAGATGTGCTGATATATTAAACTGCTAGTGTGACTGCCTTCAGATCTGAGGCTGGTCAATTTTAAACTTTAATCTCTCTGATCCCTCTACAGCAGCTATTCCCCGATTGACCTGTCTTGACTTCTCTATGCTTCTGAGATTTGTAAAATCTTTGTTCTGTCTCTATTTAATTTTTTCTCAGCATGATTGGAGCTGCCTCTTAAGGAGAGCTGCTTATTGTGATAGTCACCTCTGACTTTTTCCTCTGAATTTAAAAAGTTTCTAGATACTGTTTTTGTCTGTCAATGCAGCTTATTACTTTGGACCAGTACCTTTTGCTCTTCCACTGTTTGGTTAGCCAGTGCAGTCAGTCTAATCCAAGTCTTTTATGTGGTCTTAAATGATGATATATTTAAAGAGACACCTTCACACTGAAGTTGGTTTTGACGTATCATGAACTGAATGAATCAGTCTGCACTAGAGTTTAGGTTTATATATATATGTACATTAGCAACCAGCTAATGTTGGGTCAAAACAAATGCAACTTCACAAGTATTTTGAAGTTTTTTGTTTTCTCTAATTGTCATGGATTCATGTCTTGTCATTAAGGTTGATCTCTCTCCATGAAGAATAAAATGGTAAAGATAAGCTAACAGTGTAAGTTATTACTGTAGGGATCACAAATGTGCTGTGGAACAAGAAAAAAGTCATTACTGCTTATTATATTTATTGCTAATCTGCTGGCCAAATACAGACAGTAGTGGTGTACTGATGTGCATAAAATATGCAAGGAAAAAAGTGGATGGGTGTTTTTCTATATGAAGAAGTGTATTTTATCTTAAAGATATGTCAGTATAAATACCCTTTTTGAAGGATTTATGTTACTGCCAATCACTGTTTGTTTAAAAAAGAGTCAAACCCATAAAAAATCCACAAAGAACAAAACCTTGAGCCTCTCTGATATTTATACAAAAGATTCCAGTTTCTCTGTGCTATGCAAGTAAAATTCCTGAAGTAAAATGAACGCAAGAGCTATAACATCCTGTCTACCTTCTCGGGTTTGTCAGAGACTTAGATATGACCACAGAAAATGGGAGACATATTTGTTAAAATTAATTTAAAATATTTTTAGCAGTCTTTTGCATTCTGTCTACAGCATTAATGAGGTTTTTTTCATACAAATTCTGCCCTTTTTTTTCTTACAGTGTCCAGTCCCCACATGCTTCTTTGTGGAGACCAGCTCAGACCTTCCTTCCATTTCCTGCCTGCATTTATTCTTAGATTTTTTATCATCATTTTTTCATCCTGAGCACTGGAGTACTGGTGCACAGGAATAACTCATACTCAGCCAGTACAGGGAATAGTATGGGAGAGCACACCAGCAAACATCCTTCCCCAAAATACTCTCACAGTCTATTGTTACAGGGATTTTCTAATCAGAAATTACTTTTGTAGGTAATGGTGCTTGCCAAATATCTCTTTTATGGACATTTTAATCTTGAATTTGTATGTCCGCCAAATGCTGTGGCAAGGCTATTCAAAGATTTACAAACTGAAAAAGCAATCTCCTTTTATATTTGGACTTCTACTAAGTCACTGTTGCTCCTCAGTGAAAGATAATCTTTCACAGACCTTCTGCCTCACTGGAATTCGATTATCTTGATAACTGTCTTTTTAAATACACAGTAGACCCCCTCTAATATAATAATCATACAAAATCTGCTACGCAGCAGATCAGAACAAAATCTGGGCTTCTGAAATTGAGCCATAGAGAAGGTGAAAGCAGGTGTCAGTTCACCACTGGGGGAACATATATATATATATATATGTATATATATATATATATATATATATGTATAATACTGTGGACAATAATAATTACTCTGTGCTTGTGAGATCTCACCTGGAGAATGTGTCCAGATAGTGAGTCATTCAGTAAAGGAGAGAGACTGACCTGTTGGAGTGTGTCCAGAGATGGCCTGCGGAAATGGTGCTAGGGTTGGAACACTTCCCCTATGTGGATAAGTTGAGGGAGATATGGCTGTTCAGCCTGGAGAAGAGAAGGCCCTAGGGAGACCTGATTTAGCACTTTCAGCATTTAAACAGAATCTATAAGAAGGAAGGACTCTGACTTTGTAGTAGGGCCTATTGTGATAAGGGAAAATGGGTTAAACTGTGAGGGGAAATTCAGACTGGATATGCGGAAAAAGTTTTTTACAA